TTTTTCCCCTCCCTCCCCCCCCCCCCCCCCCCAAAAAAATGCATTATTCAGACTAGTCAGGGAACTGGGACTACCAAATATCATGCCTAGACCATAGGAGCTGCAGACATCCATTTGCGTTTGCCATTTGTTACTTTTTGATTTGGTCTGGAGATATGCTGGGGCCTTCAGCTGCCATTGTAATGTACAGGGCTTCTGGTGTGTCCGTGCCTTTGAGGATTGGGCTACCTCCTGGCAAACCTGCACCCAATTCATACTCCCATACATATGCCTCCATCTTGGAGCATATAGAGTAGAGTTAGGGCCCCTCTGAAGTGTGGTCCCAACTCTGCTAAAAACACCTTCGTTTTTAATGCCGCCTGTGCAATTTGTTTTTCCTGCAGGCTAGCTGGTGAATGCTGGGAAATGTTTGCTTTGGTCTTGTAGCTGCCTGCAGTGGATGGGGCCTGCTGGGTAACTTGTTGCTCAGGTCATGTACAGCACAGTGATGTAACCACTACTTTTAAATGTTAATATCAGTTTGCAAAGGCATTTGGTGCACACCGTGGATTTCTCATTTGTGGCCATCTAATCCCATTTAAAAAAGGGAGTCTGGAGTGGACCTTTAACCCTAAATGCAATGTTTAGCTGAAACTGATAGAACCTTAGGTAAACTGTTATATAGCATCCAGTGGTCACCTACCAAGGTTGTGCACTAAAAAGTCAGTACATTTATTTATAGCAAGATTTTGATTCGAGGCAGTGCTACAGCTTGCAAAATGAAATGGGTTCAGGAGGAATGCATCAACTGCCTCTGAAAACTGTTGACAGCAGTACTTTCTCACACAAATATTCTGCTGCAAGGCCTCTGCTGTCATTTTACATTGCCATCAGTTAAAGTAGCAACTATATAAAATAGGTCAGAGTGGGTTTGTGAGAGACGAGTCAGATTTAAGCAGTCACTGAAAACCTGCATTTTTTTTAAATGTAGAAATTCATGTTGGTCTGCAATGAATTTAATAAGATATCAATATAATACCGACTAGTAAGAATTATGCAGAATGTATATACAAACTGCAGTTCATAGCGATCTTTCAACTCACCATCAAAGCTTCCTTTTTCTCTCGCCAACTGTAATAACTGGTTGTAGGTCTCAATAGATGGCTGATATACAAACACTCCAGAGTTGAAGCAGTCAGGCCAGCCTGGATCCGGTGCAGCAGACAGCTCTTCTCGTTCAAACAAGTCATCAACATTTGTCAAAACCTAAACAGATGGAATCATACTCAAGTATAACTAAAGGCTCCTGTAGAACAGTCACACACACACACCTTCCTTTACCTCCCTCCGAGTGATCCGCATGCCCCTCCATGTCCCCCTCCCAGATTCTGCAGCTTACAATGGAAAAGTTGCAGCAATAGAAGCAGAACAGTCCACCCAGGAAGTGGGAAGGACCACATGCCAACTGACAAGCTACAGGCTTATGGATCAGCCATGGCAATGCAGATAGCATTACCCACTTCAGCTTTTTTTATCCCACTGTAGTAAAATAGGTTAGTTACCCCACAATCCCCGGAAGTCGTATTGAGTGCACTTCAAGGATCAGGCATCTGCAGGACTTCTCAGTAAGAAAGTGTAAATGCACTCAAGGTGCTTCAGCAGAAATTTAAAGTGGATGTCCATAGTTTGACCAGGTTAGAAACGGGCCTAGCCTCATGTTACTCTACTCATGGGTTACTGATGGGTGCATCTGAAGTGCACCCATCAGTAACTTACAGCAACAGAATAGCCTTTACCACTTTAACATGAGTCCAATGACCACTTTTGTTAATGACTGCCTAAGATAGTTTGAGAATTTCAAACAAGAGGAACCTTTTCCTTTCCCCGAGTCATCCCTTACTAAAGTTCTACACAGCTCCTGCCGCTTCCTCTCACTGTAAGTTGTCAGCAAGTAGTGAGGGTATACCGTGGGAATGGGGCTTTGTGTGGGTACATTAGATCTGGACATGTACTTTGAGTCATTACAACTCCAGCAAGTTACATAATCTGGAGGACCACCATCTAACCATACAGAATTCTGATAAGGGCTAATGTGCAAACTAACAAGCTTACCATTGTATCTGCATCCATAAACACACATTTTGTGTACTGTGTCAGTGCCCAGCAATGGAGTTTGGTTAATGTGATTCCTAGTTCAGGACGTTCCATTAAAGCTAGGTGTGCCGAGTCCTCACTGTCCAAGACATCCACCACTCGAACGTCATCGTAAACTTTGTTAAGCACTTTTCTGTTGGAAGGAAGATACATTTTAGCTTTCAGAATTTGTGCATTTATTAGCTTTGACAGACTGGCAATACTTACTTCATGGACTCCGAGACCTGAGGAGTTATAAGCACACACAGCTTTCTTGTAGTAGAGCAGTTCCGGAGAGAGAATCCCAGGACAAGCGCTCCCTTCACATAGGTGTCATTAGTTGCCAAGGTGACAAATGCTTGATCTAGAAAGGAGAGAACGCCGTAAGCAAGTCATCCAGCAGCCAACTGCTAGGAAACTTAGTCAGTGCTACCAGACCCCTCCAAAATCCCAAAATCTGCATGAATGTATACTTGTGCATTTGTTTTCATGAAGTCCCATACTCTAAGGCCCCATTCACACTGAGCGATTTATCGAGCGATTTTTGCAGCGATAGCGCTTATATTTCCACACGATATTGCTCTATGTAGCTTCTCCAAGCCATTTCAATGGAGCTGTTCACATCTCGTCGCTCAATATCGCTTGTAGCTCCTTCATGACCCTTTTTTCGAGCGATATTGCTCCTGATTGCATACAGCCCAATAGGGACAAGTCGCTCAAAGTCACGCGATTTTCATGTCGCTCAGTGTGAATGGGGCCTTAAATAAAGTTGCCTGGTATGCAAGGAATAGAAACAGTCCAGGGTCTTATTGCTGTTTGACCATCTCATTTCTTCTAACTGAAAGTGAGAAGAACTTCCCGTACAGAGCCACACAGGGATGTCCCAGTGATTGTGATTAGCAAGCAGAAGTATGGATAAATCTCACATGGTGACAGCAATAAGGACCTGACAATAGTTAACCCTTTTTACCATCTTGTCAGATTAGTTTTGTCTAGATTTAATTAAAATGTAACCAACTGATTATCTGCAGGAAAGCCCCTTGTGGCCAAGTGCATCACTGAACTACCAGGCAGTGGCTTTGCCATGAAGTTTGGGACTGGGGAGCAATGGACCCGACAGTCGGAAGCAGCCATCAAGAACCCTGGTGGTTATGAACCCATTCAGCAACAATGTATCATCCCTGGTAAAGGTGGTGTGTTAGCCTGATCAATTTACAGTTCTAGAGACAATATACTACTGATGAAGCCAGCATCTCACTAAACTAGCTTTGTGTCTGACAAGTTGATCTCATAATGATGTACACTTTCCAGAAATAACCCATGGTTCAAAGACTGTAAACCCTCTAGGAACAAGATGTTTGCAAGGTTAGAGCCAAAACATGCCAACCCACAATCCAGGCTGTACTACACTTATCCTAGGAATGATCATGCAATAATGCGTTGCCTGGAAACAGTGGACATGTTCCAAGAAACATGGAGTTGAACCAAGCTTCACCCTGCCAGAAAGTTAACAATCTTTATTTTAAAGACAAAACCCTAAACGATGACCCACATAGATAGACAAACGATTCATGCTAAAACCACAGAATGAGTGCCTACAAAACCCTAAACGATGACCCACATAGATAGACAAACGATTCATGCTAAAACCACAGAATGAGTGCCCTCAATGTGGGGGGGGGGTGGCGCAATCTGACAAGGTTCTACCAGTTTAAAGCACCATAGCAGTTCAAAGTTAAACCCCACACAAACCACACTGACCAAGCTCCATACAGACACCGGTTGATGACAGCATTCTTCAGAAGTGAAAAAAGGCTCAAGTCTTTCAGACAGTGACCCCTTCCATTGCCAATGTAAACCTTACTGGGACACTCATCAGAAGCAACACCAGTGACAGTTTCTGCATGTAATTATCTGTCAAGTGAGTGTCATTAACTTCTTGTGCAATCAGGTCTCAAGTACCCACACCAACAACATAAGCCTTGTGCAGGACCCCTACCACCCCCTTATAGCAACATAGATCACCATCAAGATTCCCCTGCAGTACTGTTACTCATTTATAGCAGCATACTGGACTAATGAATGTTGATGGTACGGATTGAAGAATGGTCAAGACCCCTATAAGAATTGTCTTTCCCTCTGGGGCAAGAGAAAGTGACTACAGTACAGACACCGAAAAAGGAAATAGGGCTGCAGCTATTATTTTCATAATCGATTAGTCAGTCGATTGACAGCATGCAGGTGCAATGGGGG